AGCATTGACTTTTTTCAAATCACTTGTTGTCGTTTTCAATTGACCCAAATGATAATTTGACATGTCTGCTCTATCTAATATGACATTTTATTCATTTTAAATTATCAAGTTGACTTGTTAATTTCTTCGTCTTCACATTTCAAGATCAACCTATTCTTCGTTTCGGCTTTAAAATTTTTTCAGTTGTTTAGCCATTTTGTTTTTTGTTATTTTTAACACATATTTATAAAAAAAGAACAAAAAAATAAAATACAAACCATTTTTTAGAAAATCCACTTTATTTTTATTATAAATTATAATACTGTTATTATCATTCATAGTAAAAACCCAATATCGTTAAATAGAAAACAGACTTTATTATTGTTTTTCAAATATCCATAAGTAAATACTAATATAGTAAACTAGTGATTCAATATATTATAATAAACTTCCAATTTCTTCATTGGCATTTGATCCAAATTGATCTCTGCGTCCCACCCTTCATCCTTTCTAATTGCTAAAAAAAATGCTCGAAGTTGTTCTTGATTTGCACATTTGAGGTTTTCTTCTATTTTTCTTTTGTATTCTTTTGTTCGATTTTCAGTCCGACAATCACCAAAATAGAAAGGGTCGATCAGTTTTTCGATTGGTACTGTTTGTATTTCGTCAATTTTTTGAATGAAAGAAATTATTGTACGAAAAGCGTCAACCCATTTGTCTTTATAAAATGACGAAAAATAATTTTTGTTTGTCGCAATTTTAATGTTACGCTCGACAAAGGAGTTAAACACGTTGACAAGATCATTGGGAGCAATGTTATGAAAGTGAAAAGTGACGTCATCACATGCAAAACATTCATCTGCCAATTCATTAATAACGCATGTATATAACGTCATCTTATACTTCTCAATAAACGGTATACTTTTGTTCCGCAAAACACGCCAATAAGCCATGTTGTAGTAAAACATAAATTGTGAAAATGTGAGACTTTCCATCATCCAATTATATACTTCACCGAGTGCATAATGAATGTTTGGTACTGTGGATACAAACGCTTTTGATATTGAAAGCAACTTGATGCTATAAATGTCTGTTAATTCCATTGTAGTTTATTAGTTTTTAAATACAAATCAATGACTCAAGATTCAAAAAATATTATATTTTTATACAATTAAATAAAAATTAATAAATTAATTGTTTTGATTATATCAAACCACTAATATGGAATTATTGCTATAACATTGTTATAACTTCATTTATAAATATGATGTATGTTTGTATATACAGATACAGGAAAAACCAGGGACCAAATCATAAACCAGGGACCAGACTAAATTAAGCCGTATTATTATTGGTATAAAGTTTTCTTGTTATGGAAAAATCCCCAAATAATCGGGGTTTTTGAGGATATGTTGGTTTATTTTCAAAAACCAGGGACCAACTATTAATAGACACACTGTTTTTTAAAATAAAATTGTAAAAACTATAAAATATGAAACTCTTAATTAATCATTTGAAGTTGTCTCATTTGTTAATACCCAGCCGAGCCAAGGTAAAGTTTGTTTTTATATTGATTTATCTTCTGTTGTTGAATACATTTAATAATTATCAATCATTTACTGAATGCCTTATGTTTTAATTATTTGTTTATTATTAACTTTATTTTCATTTATTGCGTGAGTCATTTATAATGCTGAACGAAAAGTGACTCATCAAATCAACCAAGTGAATAGAGAAGACTACAACATCTTCTTTGAAAAAATGAATGAACGATTTAATTGAATGGTTGTGTTGAAGTTAAACAAGGTTGAACAAAAGATCAATATTTTATGATTAAATAACAATTAATAATAATAAATAATAATAAACTTACTATTATAACTCACATTAATCTGTTGTTTATACATACTTTATACAACACATTCATTTTTTTCATCCCGAAAAATAACCGTTTTTAAGACCAAATAATAAGAAAATTACACACTTATTTATATATTTGCCCGTTTTATTGTATAAAATCCGCTTAATATTCAATAGCTAAAATTAGTCTGGTCCCTGGTTTTTCCTGTGGTCCCTGTTAATTCCGCTATCTGTACATACAATTTATTTATATGTGGTATTTATTTAAACGAAAAACACACTTAAAATTTTGAAAAATCAAATTAATTTAATATTTTCACAGCCTTTTGTATCGATTTCTTTTCCTTTGAAATCTTTGATTGTCACATTTTTGCACTTATCTAAAAGAACACGCTCAACAGTTTTTTCTACCAAAACATCGATAGACCGACAATTTGTCAGAAAAACACTTTCAGCTTTTACAACAAATTCTCTTTTCATTATTTCGCCATGTATATCACAAAATTCAAAACGTTTGGTACAGTTTTTAATCAATCTTTCATCTATTAAATTTACATCAATTATTGCAATTTTAAGATTTTCCAATTCTTTGATTTTAGAAGCAATAAATTTGGAATTTATAACTTCGACTTTAGTTGTAACCCGTTTGGATGTAGTATTTTTCTCAAAGTCAACATCCCCACCTTTTTTGTCTGTCATATCATGAACAACAATTTTTGCAGTTGAACAAACAACACTTATTTCATTCGGTGTATTAATAAGGCGCAGAAACACTTTATGACTATTTTCGATTATTAGTTGTCTTACGTCGATTTTCCAATTATCTTCAAAATACGTGTCAAACCTTTTAAAATAGTCATCGTCGACATATTCATCTATCAAATCTTTTGGTCGCGTTGGGCGTGTAAAAATGTTTGGTGTATACATTAAAGAAAATTTCTTTTCGTTAAATGTACAGCGAGAAATAACAAGACGACCAATTGCGATATTCTGAATTGGAAATTGAGAACCGTTGTACCCAATAACTGTAACATTTGCAAGTTGTGTAATTAATGGTTTATATTTGAAACTTTTAATGTGGTCAAATACAACATTTCTTTCACAAATTACATTACTTTGAATTGGTGTTGTGTTTTCTTTTTTTGTAAAGTTATATTTAAATATTTGCACAGTTTCTTCAATTGTAATACAATTAGTTACATTAAGTGATGGTTTGTCTGTATCGTTACGTGTAAATTCGAAGTATTTTGTTGGAGTTGAAAAATGACCATCTATTGTCGTATTTGTGTTTTTGTCTAAATAAAGGCGCCTTTCTCTTGAATTTGTTGTTATTTTAAAAGTACACCCTTGACAATATGACACGTGGAGCTCTTCACATAATAGTGCAGTGATCACTATTTTTAAATTTGACAAATTAAAAAACTTGATTTCTTTCGCATTTTTAAAAGTAAATAGAGAAGGCAATTCACTGACATTACCAATTGTTATTTTCTCTACGTTGATACTCCATTGAAAAAATGTTTTTATACAATTTGAAAAGGCAAGATAAAGTGATTTTATTGCGTTCACTGAAATTGTGTAATTTTTACAATAAAACAAAGAAACGACATCAATGTCACTTTTTGAATCAAATTTGAAATTTTCAGTATTTGTGATGATAACAGATATATTTCCACTTTTATATATTGTACTCACATTTACTGTGTTTGACAAATCAACACGTAAAGTTACATTACTTATTACATTAAACGTAAAATTCAAATTTATACACTGTTTAATTGTAACATTTTTAAAACACTTAGACTGGATTGACAGTGTTGTTGAATTCACATGTGTAAGATATAACTTACTCAAATTGTTAAATATTCCAAAATTGAAGTTTAATTTATTGAATGTTTTCTCGATAGTTAGAACTTCGATATTAATAAACGGAAAATAAAAATTGTTATTCTTTTCT